CTACATCATTTTGTAGACTGATCACTTACTGTTTATCATCAGCTGCCTTGGAAGTTACTAAACAGGCAGCCAAACCGATCGTCACAGGTGACGACATTTATCGCATGCTCTGCGGTGTGGGCGCAGCACCTGTGACTTTCGCGTGGACTTGCAATGCATCTACCACACTCGCTCTTACCTCACTCGCTTTGTTATGGTGGTAAGATAGCGTCCAGGTGGCCGAAGATGAGTACGGATGTTGTGATTGTCAAGACGTGTCCCGCACGACCTGGTCCCGCGGAATGTACCGGGCTTTCGCGAGGGTGGTTCGAATCCCACATGCGTGAGAGTTTCCCAAAGGCAAGGTTAAGGAGGAATAATTACAGCTTGATTCTCAGTACTGCAGTCAATCCAAAATATTTCCAGAATGACTGAGTTATCCCTCCAGTTGGCGGCTTTTCAAGTAAGGACTCTTAGTGCGCCGTGGCACAGGGCAAATTATCTATGTCACAGAGATGATTTACAAGGTTAGCGTACCATTCTTTGGTTTGGAAGTAAACAACCACCGCGTAATGACTGTTCTCCGCCAAATATATTTCGTGTATTCAAATTATTTTTCACAGCCAACGGCTTTTGGGTTCAAATGCGTCTTTTCCGAGGACCTTTCTCCGAGATTACGAGTTTTTAGAAAAAAAAAACCTGCGCATCCTGATCGGACATAGTGTAAATCACAAGGATACCGATTTTGACAGTTGCTGCGCTCGTTGGGTTCAGCTTTGATATACACAGGGGCCCTGTAATATCAGCTTCCACGCATGCCAGTTATCTCTGAAGTATGTGTTGTCCTCTAGCGAACGCGCAATGCCCCAAGAGTATAAAAATGAGGCTCGTAAGTGTAACCGTATGTGAAAAACTCATCAAGAAACTATTGTAGAAGGATTTGGTCATGATTGAAATGGTTAAACGTGGGAGAAATTTCCAATCAATATTTTAAATAAGACTATTGGTTATTTAAGTACCACCTTCGGACTTCTTTTTAAACAGAGTACTGAGTGATGAAATGGATCCGACAAAGCAAGTGGAGACCCGAATGGCCATTTCTGACTTATTAGCCGTCGTCAGCCAGTCATACCCAATATCAAGGGTTGGAAGCCCTGAGACATGAACCTGGGACATTTGGTCATTGAGTTCAATACTCTACCTCTAGTCCACGGGCTCCTTGCTTTGTCGGTTGAGATTGGAATATGATAAATGTATGTGTTTCGCCGATCTATTAGAGGAACAATTAAGTTTCGCTTTACCCAGGGGCCCACAACGTAAACCCGCCAGACCGTCACATAGTGAATAGGATGCTATGATGAAA